GTGTTTGACTGCTGGGGCGTTTGATCTTGATGTGCGGAGGGGCTGCTGCACCTCAAGTGCACAAATTCGGTGGCAGAGGCTTGGGCCACTGATGTACTGATGTATTTGACATGCCAGAGGTGTGTGTGAGTGTTGGCAGGCAACATCATTGACTCGCAATGCCCTTGTGAAAGCGAGCTGGGTGTCAGCCTCGCTTGGATTCACGCCACATGCTGCTTTTCAATTATGTATCCCAAGGCGGTTGCCCTGCAGATGCTTCACAGCTTCCGGACAGTGCTCCAGCCGACTGAGGCCCTTAACTTGGCTTTCAGCTTGCCTTGGCTGGGAAGATGTATCATAAGACAACACGGGCTGGCACTGGCGTTCAGTGGATGGGCAGTTGCAACAAGTGGCATGTGCTTCAAGACAGCGCGTTGAAGCGTAGCATGCGCAGCACCGCAAAACCACAAACCAGCACTCGCCAACGCATGCTAGCGCACCTCTGCATGTTTGGAGGCTGCGACTGTTGTCTGCACACAAGTGGCACACACATTTGTAGTGCACGTGCTTGGGGCATCTTGCGCTACGACAGCTACGGCTAAAGTATGCTAAAGTGGATAAAAGAAACTCCAGAGACATGCTCATACACAGTCGGGAGAGGAGGAGCAAAAGGGCCATGGCTCCGAGAGAAGACCCTGAGCTACAACATTCAGATGTCGAGAAAAGGGAGCGAAGATGTGACGCGCAGCTAGGTCCTCAACTGTGATGCTCCGGAAATGGACTCAGGTCACAGTTGGGGCAGCAATGACCGCGATCGCCAGGACTCACTGGAAAGCTGCCGAGTTAGAATACACTGGTTGTCACAAGTAAAAACCTTGCCAGGTTAGTCTAACAAGATCTCCGCATCCTGCAGTTCCAAAGTAAGGGGGAAGCCGTGCCCGTGCAAGAGGTGAATCTTCAAAACCTTTCTTTGGACAACATGGTGCTTTTCGTCAGGACGCAATGGTCGTTATGTTTGGCACTGCTTGCGCAGGCGAGTTTGTGACTTGAGCTTGATCGTGAGCAAAGAGTAGGACGTTGTGCAGCAACCGCTCTTCCTCCATTAAAGCCTCGCCAAGTTTCTTTTTCTGACGTCAGGCAGCTGCATGCCATCTCATGAGCGTCATCTTGCAGCCTTGGCTTTCATATGAAAGCGAGCGCATCTGTCAAGTCAATCATGCCAGAGTGTCCATGTTGTTTCTTGGCGGACTTAGGCAGAACATTGTGATCACGGCCGCTGGCAAATTTTCGCAATGGATGAGGCCTTGCTGGAAGCCCTGCAGACGAGTTTAATCTTCAATCTATCCAATGTCTGGTGTACTGATATGACACTTATGCTGCAAGATATGCATGGAGCTGATCAGGTCTGCTTGGCTTGTTGACCGTTTGTCACAACTCCGATTGCAGCCATCATCCGCGACAATGGGTGGCTTGGTGACGGGTCTTGTGAATCTGGCATGTGTTCTGCGTGAAGAACAAAGGTGAGGGTTTGCGAGCCATGTCCTTGTGCTGGCAGGCTCGAGATGCCCGATGGGTTAGGCTCCTGGCTTTTCAGCTTAGCTCGGAGCGTTCAAGATTGAAAAACTGGCCTGATTGAGGTTGCTGCCTTGAAAGTGCTGAGCCTTACTCGTCAACAGCCTGAATGGCTGCAGGGCAAGAAGGCTAGATGAAAGACTACCGGACTACAGAACGGGATTCTCGTTCTGAAGGATGGATTTGGATCTCCGACCTGGAATGCAGCGCTCCAATTCACCTGCTGTAGAAGCTTACAGTTCGTGTGGCTGTCTCATACTTGAACAGCAGCGCGCAGTACAGAACTGCGAGGCTGGCATGGCCGCGTGCGGTGCAGGTCGTGTCTGGAGCTGGGTCCAGGGCTCAGCATGCCGTTCGGTTTCAGGCATCTGGCTGCTTCTGTTGAAGCAGCTGACTAGGCTCTACGTCTGGCAGCTGGTGAGCCCTGGCGAGGAGCTACCAAGTCCATTCCAAAAGATGGTTCTGTTGAAAACCGGCAAGATGAGCTGATGAGCATGATTCTTTCGAATGTCAGCAAGATAAACTATGGCTCGGATTGGGCAGGTCAGAAAGGCACCTCAAGCTGCCTGGTAGGAAGTCAACGTCCTATGCTCAACCTGGCATGGGCCGAAGCTATAGCCCCATAAACACTCCGCTCGCCTCAGCGGCAAGGCTTTGCTGCTTTCATTTTTTTGCTTTCCACTTTCTACGTCATACCTTATGTTGTTTTGCACAGCTTTTCCAACGTAAAGCTTTGTGAGCTACCTCTCGAGCATTCGAAAGGCTCGATCACATCATGCAGGCTGAGTCGATGCCAGCCAACAACCCTTGAGGTTGCCGGAACATCTTCGCTTGCACGGCTTCACTGCCGGCACGCGCTTGCGGTGTCTGAACTTGCGACTGAAATTCTCATGTGGCTAATGAGCAACTGATTCTGCTGCATCACAGGCGTTTCAACCCTTTTTATTGTCGCCAGAAGGACTAGCTTGTTGCAGTCAGGCCCCTGCAAGTACAGGTAAACAAGAAGGGACTTGAGATCGGCACTATGCATGAAGGCTGGGTTCGCAGTATTCGCAGGCAAAAGACCTGCAGGTGGGTTCGCGGCGCCTGCAGTTAATGGTGGGTTCGGAAGCTCCATGTCGAAGGCCTAAACTGTGCTGGGGAGCGGCACTGCCAAAGCGAATTTATGTGATAGTGATGGGAACAGATGGTGTAAAGGCGTGGTCTACTAGCAACGTTGTATAGTGCGCAACTCAAAGAGAGACCAAATGGAACCTGCACGGATCCACCAGCAATAGCTATAGCTCTCTTATTTTGCCGATCTCGCACGCTGTTTTGCCAGTTTTAAGCTTTTTGGGATTCAGGCTGGCACAATTGAGGGTCATCCTTTGGTTGTCAGTGACGCCATCGCTTACCATGCTTTCGTACTTCACAGGACCATATGAGTCTTGAGCAGACGATCCAACAATGATGCATATCCCGTGAAGTAAGTGCACACCAATTCGTTGAACTCCCGAGGACCTACAACATCCTTTGAACTCGGTCTGATGGAAAGGGAGGGTTGCGGGATCATTACAGTAGGACAAGGAAGATGATGACTAGTTGAAGGTCTAACATTGAAATAATTCTGCAAAGCGGCCAACCATGCACAGGACTGGTTTGCGACGTCATCGGCCAGACTCGCAGTTTTCTGTGCGACGCAAAGGTTGTCATGATGTTTGGTCCAAGGTTTCAACACGGCTCTAGCTGCATGCAGCCGTGAACACTGGGCATGTCGCTGAGTCGTGTGCAAGAACTGCCGTATTTCTCTTGTGATTTGTGCCCCAGATTGTGAGTCTACCTTTTACTTGAGAGCTGCGCTCCAGCCAGTTGCCGGGCAGTTGCCGGAAGAAGCACGCTCGCAAGGTGTTGGCAGTCAGACTCTTGATGTACGAGCTGCATCGCCCACAAGGCTTACCGGCAGAATTGGCGCAGTTTTGTGCGGTGTGTGGCCTTGACCCAAGAGCAAAGCTCTGAAAGCAGTCCAAACATGTCACAAAGAAAACATGCTTCTGGCTCAAGTTGCAGGAGTTGAGCCTGACGTTGTCAGCATCAACACAGCATTGGGCGCCAACCTTGAGAGTGCTCCATGCTTATGGAAGAACTTGGTTGTCCTCATAATCTCCTATTCAGGCTGAGCCATTTGGTGCTCAAGGTATGCATGGAGCCGAGGAGGAGAAAACGACGCGCCGCGCAGAAGAACAATCATCCTCTCACAAGCCAGAGGATGGCTGTCCCCTCTTTGAATCGGAAAGTCAGAGGCTCATCAAGAAGGCCAAGTTGGACTCCACAGTCGTGAAGATTGGCGGCAAAAAGCTTCGTGCTGGAACTGTCCCTTGGCGATGGACCGACGCCAAGTTCAGCAGCATCCAGGTTCTGCTTATCGAAGGCTTGAACACCCCAGGCCGGTGGACTTTCCCTGCGGGCTCTTTGGATCCAGGTGAGCAAGTGCCCGCGTGTGCTGTCCGCGAGACTATGGAGGAATGTGGCGCAAGCGGAAGTCTGGGAGGCTTCCTCGGAACCTTCGACACAGACAAGAACCGCACGTACATGTTTCTACTACATGTGCAACATATGGAAGATGAAAGCAATGAAGCCTGGCACGATCCGCACTCAGCTTATGAGACCAGCGGGATGAGAATTCGTAGGTGGTTCCACCTTGACGCAGCAAGACCGTTGTTAAAGAAAGACGGCCCGCAAATCTTGGATGCTTTTCTTTCTGTTCCAGAAGCCCGGCGACTTGATGCAAGTTACAAACCAGTTGGCAAGCCTCCAAAGATGCGGCTTCTTTTGCTTGGTGGTTCTGATGCCCTCCGTGATCGCTGCTGTCAATGGGGTTGCCTTCATGAGGCAAGCCTCAACTTGTCCACACCACAGAATCTTACCGATCATCAACTATTTGCGGCAGTTGCTGCGGCCTTTTGGGAAGCAGACGTCGCCGTGTTTTGTGGCGGTGCAGATATCCTTCACATGGCTGGGCTTTCAGCCAGTCAGGGCTTACCGACGTTGGTGCTGGTTACAGGGCTGACGCTCTTGCCAAGACTGCTGGGTGCGGACTCGAGAATTACATCGTTCGTGTTGAGAAGTAAGAGCATCTTGCATACGTTTAACTAAGTCAGGTTTGTTGACGCATTTTCTTTGGAGGTTCTTGCCTAGAGATCTCGCAGAGACCTTCGGATAACACTGAGGTGACGAACCTTCCTTCTGCACAGAAGCTTGCAGCCGGACCCTCAGAGCATGACACGTAAATCAGCTCGGATCTTTCTTCCATGTACGTGTGCGCTGTTCATCCAAGGCCACCTCGATGAATTCTTGAGGCAGCGTACAGGCGTCTGAGGGGCTGGTGCTGGTCCTGACGACAACTTGAGCCGATACGGACTTTCTGGTTTACATCCACGCAAGATGCGTCTGCATGCATCGCACCATGGGCAATGCCTTGCAGTAGCAGTCCCAGCGCTGGACTTGGAGTTGAAAAGTGGTTGCGCAAACGTGCTCTCCTCATGTTCCTGTATCTGCTGCTTCCCTGGCTGGCGCCCTGCCAAGGTGCTTGCGCTTCGGGCTCCGCGTGGTTGCACTGCCTTGATGTATTGTCTTTGGCAAGGGATTGTGTGTTGAGCGCGGATGCTGTCGGTTGCAATTCTGCCATCCAGTGTTGCGGATTGGCGAACTCCTGGGAAGGGTCAATACGACTTCTTCAGGTTCTTGAGGGAAACTGCGGATTCTCACATAGAACGGCCTGTGAAACTATCGCCTCGATGTCGCACCGCTGGGAGCCATCTCTGTCATTACTCACAACGGCTGCATTTGCAAACGTTGAACTGGATACAGCCGTGTTCAATGCTGCATCGAGCGCTCTAGCAGGCATGGATGAGATTTTCCTAATTGCCTCTCCCGTTATCTGAAAGCACAGTGATTTTGGCACCATGAGGGGCTGGGTTTAGATTTTGAGCTGTCAGGTGGTGACGAGTGGCAAGCAACGCTGCTGCTTGCAGCTGGACTTGAGTCGCTGGGACTCCAGCCGACGACATCAACTCTGAATGCAGTGGCCACGGCCAGTGCTCGAGGACGCGCTTGGTTTCTGGCAGTGAACGCCTTACATCACCTGCCTGGCCTTGAAGATCCGGCTGGGGTTGGTGCAGTCGTTCTCGCCTGCGCAGAGTCTGATCAGTGGCGAAGGCTAGCTGAGTTGCAAGCTCCTTGCAAGGGCTTCCTGGTTGCCACGTGTTGTCGGCAGTTTATCTGATGTTTGTAGCATGGAAGCAATGGCATCTGGAGGCGTATGAAGGCTTGCCCAGATGCAGCCTGTGTTTAACGCAGGTGATGCTGTTCCATGCACAACTGCACAGCTGCAACACTGCAAGACGAACAGCTCGAGAGAGACAGGGAGCTGTTGTGTTTGTGTTGATGCGGTACTGAGTTGCACTCTGGAAGCCCTCCACAGCCCACATCTTCTAATTGCAGCTCCTGTTGCATTGGATGGAGCAGCATGTACGACAAGTGCAGGTGCCTTTCCCTTCTTCAATTGCCGACGATGTTGGGTTCAGAGTCCCTCCCGGCTCGCAATGATCCAACCTCATACTTTGCAAGATTAGTTGCTTTGAAGTATTCCTGCGAGTACAAGGCAGCAATAACAACCTTGGGGCGACAAGGCTTTGTCGTCAAGGCAGGGCCGAGGTTTTCGCAACATGATTTGCTTCATGCTCTGCCTGTCAGTAGGCTGTCGTGGTTCTGAGGGATGCCGCGCAAATGAGGCTGAGGCTGGGAGAGGATCAAGCCGGCTGGCAAGACTCAGCTGCGATGCTGCCAACATTCTTCTTATCGTTGCTAGCTAGTAACAGCTAGTATGATGTCTACGAAGGTTGAGCACGAATTAGTGTTTGTGTGTTTCTATCGCCATCCTGGTTTGTTGAAGTTGTTGCAGTTGTTCGAGTAGTAGGGGGCGGTCGGAAGAGTACTGCTGACAACAGCAATAGAAGTCGTCGTTTGCCTAGATGCTGAGGATGATACTCCCTGAGCCAGCATCATCAGCATCGTTGGGGGGCGTTTCTCCATCTTGAAACTCTCCTATACCCAATGGCCTCTCTTAGCTTAGATTCCACACTTTTCTGACCTCTAGCCCATGGGCCTGGGGGCCAGTTTCTAAACAATCATGCTCGTGGTGATTTTGGGGGACCCAACAATCCTTGCAAAATCGCTCTCGCTACGTTTTAACGCAGGGCGGCCCTACTGCCTTCATGACCAACAGCAAGGGCCAGCGAAAGCAAGAGTAGCATAGGGCAGGATGTATGTAGAAGTAGTGCCGGATGTGCCGGTAGCAGGGGCGGCCGGAATAGTTGTAATGAGTGACGGTAGCAGGTTCAAAAAGGTCCGTGCTCGTGTTGCTCATTGGGAGTCGTGCGGGACGCCAAAAATCTTGAAAGATCCCTGCACATGCTCGGGGGAAGCTTCAACGACCCGTGTCAAATTTGAGCGTGCTTTGTGGATGGGGTCTGGGATGGCTGATTGCAGAAATGGAGGTCCGATAATGCCGTGGGGTCGGTAGTTGTGGTGCCACCTTGTATCCCAAAAGCTCTACACTTGGTCTCTGCCGTGAACCCCGGCAATGGCGGACAATTCCTGTTCGTCAGATGTAGACATTTGTCGGGTTGAGCTGAGCGGGGGTGGAGATCAAGACTGTATGCAAGCAGAAGGTAGATTTTACAACCAGAAGGTGCATTTCAATCAGATCGATTGCTTCTCAGGCCAGAAAGTAGAATCGACTTAGGGTCTGTATAATATCATGACGCCAGAAGTATATTTTACACTTACACCCAACACAAGATATTACTGGCCCGAAACATGTAAACATTGAATGTTTTCTTTACTAGGTTTTTGTTTGGCCGGCGGAATAAATCTTGCAGTATGGCAATAGTCACTTCAATAGATTTAAAAGCTTTGTTGAAGTACTAGTGGCAGTAGTACCTGCAACAGGATGGGCAGGAGTCTTGAGAGCCTCCAGAGACAGGATTTGGTGGTCGAAGTCTTCAGGCTTGGGATTGGGAACATGAAGACGTGATGGTTTTGGGGTTCCGGGGTTCGAAAAGAGAAAACACGCAGGACTGAAAGGATGAGGTGTCATGATGTATTGCAAATTTTACGGAGCCCTTAGGGGGTAAGGCCTTGTGAAGCCCCGATCCACTGTTTAACCCCGAAGGGCTCATTCGAAGTTGTCAATTTGACTTTGAAACTTGAAACGGCTGCAGTTGGCCAAAGCGCAAGCTTTCCACAACCTGAACAGCTACCAAACCCGAACATTGTAGTAAATTGTATAGCATCCCTATGAGAGTTCAAAAGGTAGACTCAATTCGCATAGGTAGCAGTGTGAAAGTATGTGAAAGTACAGCCCTGGGTCATTGGCTACAAAATGTCGCACATTTTGCAACCAACATGCCTGTCAGACCTTTCAGCTTCTCCTACAGTCGTTCACTCGGTTCTTGGAAATCATCCCATGAAGGTCAAGCACCCCCTGATTGGGTTGTAATACTCTACGTTTGGGAACACCATGGGTTGCGAAAGCTGCCCGCTGTTGTATTTTCTGCATTCTAGCTGTAAATCTCTGAAAGGCCGACCTTGACTTCTTTCAATGCAGTGCAGGGCCTAGTGCTCGGCTTCATGCGTTGCATGTGGCAGCTGAATGTGACCGAGGCTTTGGATGCGTTGACTTCGAATGCTCTGGCCTGCTCAGAGAGTTGGTCCAGAGCCCTCAGCATTCTGCAGGCCTGCAGATTGCAGCGTCAAGACATGTGAAGGTACGTTCAAGTGAATGCCTTGCGCAACATGGTGAAAACTCATCTTGCCTTGCTAAGGAGGAAAGACAGGGGCTGCACATGTGCTGTAGCAAGCATAAAGCGCGTGACACTGCAATGTAGATGTTTTTTAGCAGTTCGCCAGGGGCTTTGTGCCTACGGCCGCATTTCACAAAATACTGCGAAACTATATGCAAACAACAGGGCTTTCACAGCCACATGATCATTCTCATTGCGACTGTTTTCAGTTTTGTTCAGTTTGCCAATGCAGCATTGCCGGCCAGTTTACTGCTGTAGCATGTCACATTTCTGATAGGCCCACGGCACTTGCACGCTGCAATCTACAAGCTGAGGGCAGGCTGTATAGCGTTGGATGCTGTAAAACATGACCACGAGTGTTCTTAGCCATGAAGTTCACACGGTAAGAAGTAGGCACTGGAAGTTCAGGGTCCATTCACCAGCAAATTCCTTTCGTAGTCGCCTCTACAGGCCTTGAATGTGCATGCTCGTCTCGGTCCGCTGCTGCCAACTTTCTAGTGCAGTCCTGATTCCTGCACATTGTCAGCGTACATCTAAAGGGTTGCAGGCTTGTCAGCTCATCTCCTGCGCGCGTCAGATTGCCACAGGCGGCTGTGGCACAACAAAAAGGAGCGCAATGTTCAAAGGGTTTAGGCCATGGCTGGCACGGGAATCCAGCATGGAGACCTCGCAAAAGTAGAAGCCCCTTGATCGGAAGTGCACGTGAAGTATGCTGTGTCTGCCCATTTTGAAAGATTTTCTTGTCATCCTCATGATGCCGGTCACGGGCACTGAAGGTGATGTTGCTGCTGGTGAGTGCGGTCGTTGCCTAAACCCTGTATGTTGCTGGCCAGGATTTAAGATCCGGCAGACTGCCGCCAGATGAGTTCACGCGCCTGACCAAGCAAACTTGTTTTCTTGCGGGTGTTTGCCTTGGTATTGTTGGAGTGGCTCATGTCAAGCTGAGCATTTGAAGGTATCAGTTTGCGGTTTTTGCTTCGCAAGCAAGTCCAGGCCTCGGCGTTTGAATTCCTTGAGCCAGCATCCTACGAATCCTATCATCTTGCCTGTGCATTCTGAATCTGAGCCGGCTTTTCTCTTTGGCTTCTTAGGTCTGATAGATAGAGACTGTGTTTTGCGGACGATTCTCGGTGGATCGTTCGCATGCCGGTCGATCGATGGCTTGTAGCTCTTGCCGGAGGTCTGTCAGCAGTTGTAAGTCTAGCTACAGTGGGTTGCTTCCCAGTCACCGGTCCGCCCCCGTGAGCGGTCAAAAGTGTGATGATCAAAACCGTCATTATTGTTAATTTCATTCGGTGCACAGTTGCTGTTTATGTTGTGCTTTTGCGTTCATTGTCATTGGCGTTGCGAAAAAAAATGAGCGTTGATTTAAAGGTCCGCGTAGCAAAAATAGATGGATGGACCATCAGCATAGCAAGATATGCCTTCGCGAAAGTTTTGCGATGGACAGGAAATTTATTTTGCGGGAAATGTTCTTTTTATGTAATCCAGCTTGCATGCATGTCTAGGCTCTCAGTTCTGCTATGCTATGGCCTATGGCTCTGAAGGACAGTCATTGCCAGGTTTCTCATCTTATTTGGAAGATGGGCATTATTTCTTGGACCTGTTTCGTTTAAATCCCATCCTTCTCTCTTAGACTGTTAGCATCTTGGAAGTTTATCCGCGCTACTGTAGACACTCTTCGGGCTCTATGCCTCGCTCATCAGACCGGCAACTTAAGTGTGCGCGAAAGTTCCGTGTAAGTACCGCGCAAGTCGAGGTTGCAATCTGTAGGCAAGAGCTCGCAGTAAAAATGTGTGTACTGTAGCTAGGGTTCTCACCCACCGGCTCTGGGCCTGAACATGTTGATTGGAATCAAACCTGTTGAGCCTTCCCGGCCTCGGAGCTTGCCCTTGGCATGCGCAGGTCCAGGCTTAAAGATTTTGGGCTTGAGGCTTTGCTGTGCAGGTGTTGATGCTTTGGGTTCAAGTATGCAGGGAAGGGTTTCGCAAAGGGGGCGCCTTTCGGGGCTGCTGAAGGAGCCACTGTAGCTATCAGAGACACGCGCGGCGATGGGTCTGCAAAAGTTTTGCCAAAGTATTTTTTTGCGAAGATAGTCATATTGAGATGAAGGAGTATAGATCAACGCCCATATGGCTGAACCGCTCCTAGAAGGGCCCTCTTGAGCAAGCAATTCTTGTGAGAACATGCGCATGTGCGCTTGTTTGTGCTGGAGCCTGAGTTCCCAGTCCGGCGATGCTTCGCGTGCGTGGGATCTTTTCCATGGCGGCCGATGAGGAGACCGAAGCTAGAGTCGACTAGGACGAACGAGTTGGCATCGCAGAGGATAGGTACGATCCCACCCTATATGGCTAGCACAGGGCATGACTCTATGGCTGCATGGCATTGCGCCACTTGTGGTAGTGCAGGCCTCCGCAAGAACATTTGGGGCGCACGCAGATGGTAGAGGCTTCGACTATTACCGGTTGGTGAGGACACATGGCGGCGCACTGGGCATGAAACATGGATGTACCTCCTGGGAAGCAGGAACAGCCTCCACCATGGCTTCGTGCCACAACTTCTGTGACTCCAGCAGGGCCGAAACGTACACCTCTGCAGCCAACGGCGCCTCCTTCAGAGATGACAGCTACTTCATGGCTTCATTTGCTTCAAGGGCATCAAGGCGCAGACCGTTTACGACCCGGAGGCCGGGCCGACGAAGATCTTGGGAGCACGAAGAGCCCTGACCCACGATACCATGGTGACTGTGAGCTGCACCTGGCCGGTCGATCCGACGCCAGTTGCCCTCACTGGGGATCATGGAGGAACCGACCCAGAAGATCATGGAAAACATCCTGCAGTGATTCTACTTGATTCGCCCGCTTCAAGCAAGAAAGTTGGTTCTAGCTCGTTGACGCCTTCTCGGACAAGTCGCATGGGTCCGGAGCACGGAGTCACGTGGCGGGGTGCAGCGGCCCCGTTGCCGTTGAAGTGGTCCCTTGACAATGAGGACCTAGCCTGAGGGCCTTTGCCAAGTACAAGCGCGAGGCTAGGCTTTGGGAGATCCAAGTGGAGCCGGAAGTGGATCTTGTGAAGTCACTTGCGCGCCTCGGCAACATCTTGTTAAAACCCCATGGTGTCAGGCTCCATGGGCACCAAGACGTCTGCTGTCTTGATGGACTACAACAGTACTGCAACCTTGTCTCCACCTTGAAAACCTTCGCGGCCTAGAAATTCTGCATCGGCTGCTTCTGGAACACCTCAGGCTGCTCTTTGCGCCGAAGCCGACCGAAATCACCGGCTAGCATAGCGCCTATAGGAAGTGCGCGTACAAGCAGATCAGGATGCAGGCTGCCATTCTGAACATTCCTGTCTTGACACCGGGCCAAGCCTTCCCAAACAACATCCAGTGAACGAAGCTGACCATGGCATCTAATCCCATGGGCACTCCGCTGTCCCAGGAAATCCCCTTTCCAAGGATCGCATGACGGCAAGGGCTAGCCTTCGTTCTGGTGGGACAATGTTTGTCATGGCCACATGTCTTGAAAAGTTCAAGCTATGGCTAGATTGTCACGGCGCTGTCATGACTCTTAGTGCAGGGGCAGCCACTCGTTCCTTGCCGAGCAAGGGTTCTCGTGACCCATAGACGCGCAATCAATCGCAATCAATCAATCAATCAATCAATCAATCAATCAATCAGTCAATCCATCAATCATGACTCGTAGCGTCATTTTGTATCAGTAGAGCTTGATTACGACATGCATCACCATTCATCTTTCAGACTTGGTACGTTCGAGGTTGGAGATGTTGTACGTGATTCTCCTTCCAAGCTCCCAAAAGCTTTTTGCGAAACCCCTGGTCAGACCATACAGTTGAGCCTAAACACCAAAAGCTTCTGCCTTGCGATCCTTCTGGCATGCTGGCAAACTAGTGTCTGGTCATGCAAACTCCGCCATCTCTGGCCTGTACCGCCTGAGGTGGAGTTCATAGCAGTATGCTGCTGGCACGGAGTTGGTTGGCGAAGGTGCGGCTATGCAGATTCCATACGAGCGACGGTCAAAGCTATCAGACGCTAGCTCATGTATTGTTAGGACATGAGTTTAGTTGTTGTAGCTCCAAACACTGTGAGACGATAAGGGAGAAACGAACACAATAACGTGAAACGGTATTCAGCTGGCTCACCCCCTCTTCAGCTAGCACTACAAACGTGCCAACATCCAGCCGGTTTCCAGTACTAAGCCGGCAATACAGATGTACAGAAGTCAAGCCATCCAGTACAAGGCATGACTAATTGCCTTCCCCTTAGTAACCAACGTCACTCTCAATGAAAAATCAGAGTTTTCTCATTTTGGAGTGGCTTGTATCGTAAAGGCCGAAGCTGGAGCCTATTCAGTCAAAAAAACATCTCTAGTTCCCATTTGTTCCGTTCTATCAACATACATTCCTTCCTTAAGCACATATAAGTAAGCAACGTCTAGGAAATAAACGAAACCCTAATGTTGTTAGACATTCCTCCCAAAACCATGATAAGATTCAAAAATACATCTGAGGAACGAGGGTCATCCTAAAATTCGTTTGATCCTCTTTGGATTCTGTGTGGTGCAAATTCCTTGCTAACACCGTATGAAGAAACAACAGACATGGAGCCCTCGCGGAACAAGAAACACATGGAATCAAGGAGATCTGTAGATTCTAGCTGGGTGTCTATGAGCTTTTGTTTGCATGAATTCCTTCATACAACCCTACTACTGAACGAGGTTCCAGACGCCCCAAATGCATGGTTAACAGCCAACTACTTGGCCCTTTATAAAGTTGTGGTCGTCTTCCCGTTGTACAAGTGGCCTTCTACGAGTTTAGTCCCCTCTCCAAGTATTTCTTATTCTGGGTGGTTTATTGTTAGGGAAAGTGATTATTGCATAACAGAAATCGAGCCGGCTTACAGGAACGTGGATTCACGTATTAAGACCGCACTACAAATCAAACCGAAAACGCAGTTCTTTTACAACTGCAGAGTTGTCATGCAAAGAATGGCAAAACGATAGGGGAGACAAGAAGAAACGGTAACATCAATCTGTGACTATTAGCCAGCTGGTTCAAGTGCTGAATTGGACAGAGGTATCACACAATGCCCGACCCAGCATGGACTCGCACAGCAATGAATCTCAAAGCTCAAGAGCAAGGAATGCTCCCAAACAGCGGTAATGAGAGTCCAGCAAAATGCAGGCTCGTTCCGGCCAACGGCCCTCAACACCTACAGATCTGTTGATAGTTGGACAACATAGCATTTGCAGCTTAAGTGGCATTGCATGTTGTCAGCCGAGCCTTGCCGCCTTCTTACCATTTCTTGCCTAGAGCTTCGTTTGCACAAGCCTCTTTCGATGATCACCTCTTTTTGGTGTCTTTAAGGCATGTACGTTTATGCAAAACGATCCGGACCCTGGCCAGTTGAGGCAGAAGGTTGCTGCATAAAAAACCAGTATGCTTCGCGCATGAGCAGGCAAAGGCTCCGTGAGATCATGCCCAGAGAGCCAGGACACAGTGCCAATGCATGCTCATCTACAAAGTGTAGGTGGCGTCCTGTGCATATGCCGGCCCATGAGACCGGATGGTGTCTGAGGGTTCTGAGCACTGGCTGCGTGTTGCAGGAACTTGTTGTTTCAAGCAGTTTGCCAGCCGCGGGATTTTGGCCTCCACCGTCTGGGTTCCGAGGCAGTTCTTCGCTAGCGTGCGCTGCACAACGCAACCCAACAGTTTTGTTGCTAGGCAATGGCTCGCAATGCTGCTGGACCAGTGTTGCTCGGTTGCAGCGGTGTGACGTGCTTTGTTCCGGGTTTTCATGTCTGGCAAGCGATGAGTTTAGGTGGAAGTGCCGCTGTGGTGCTTCACCTTATGGCCTGCCCCGATACCGTGATCGTCAACATTACGGCTTTGTGCCCAGTGCTCTTGGAAGCCTCTAAGACAAAAGCTTTTGGTGTACGCGCGCTGATTCTAAAAAAAATTTGTAGCTGGCCATGACGGCTATCATCCACGGGACCGGGGTGCGAATGCTGAGGCTGTCATAAGCGTCTTGTTCTACCAGAAGTTCCTTCAAGAAATTCACATGAACCTGACGTCGGTTGCCCGAAACCTCTCGGCATTAGCGTCAGCTCAGGGGACTGCACTTTGCTGGCGAGGTGGACAGCAGTTGGCTTCGCTTTGGTCTTTCCTCTGCAGACTGCAATTAGGCCCCTCTCTACACTCAGCTAGGGAATCTGACTACCGGGTGAAATGGTAAACTCAATTGCGCGGAATCGTCCAACTTTCATGAGAAGCTCTAAGCTGTCAAAGTCTGAGTCATCAGCAGTTGTCCATGGTGTACGTCCTTCCGTGACGTGACAAACCCACTGCCCGCTGCTCGTAGAAGAAGTCAGCTAAAGGAGAAGCACTCAAAGCAGTTGTAAAGCTGCAAGATGCCTGCACCTTTCATGTAGTTCTATCATGCACGACACCTTTGCGAAGGGAAGCCTTCAAGCGAAGAGAGGCCAGCTTGGAGTTGCAGAAGCAGCAAAGTTGTGAAGCTTTAGCAACTGCCTTCCAGCAAGCGCTGATGACCATCAGTGACTTCCGTGCGACGCTGCAAGAGTCCCAGGGGCTCATGAGGTCTCGAAGGCCTCATAGAGCCTTCGAGAAGTTTTGCGCAGCTGTTGTAGGATGAACGTGTTTCTGGCCAACCAGATCTGGGACTGGCCTGGAGAAGTGGACTTACTTACCTTTGGGTTGTAAGCTGTGCCAAGAAGGCTCACGGACCCGGCACACTCCTGCATTTTTCCCAAGGCCGACTCCTGGTATGGTAGAGCAGAAGACAACTTGATGGGGCCACAGATGGGGCTCCATGTGTCCAGGCATGTCTGCTTTTTGCGAGACTGATCTTTGAATCCTTCTGCTAAGGCCGAAGGAGCAGGGAGGGCACGGCAAAAAGAAGGGGCAGTCGGCTCAGAAGTTGGTCAGATTCCCAGCCATGGACATGTCCATGCCAGCATGCTTTTGGCAGGGTCTACAAAGACACGCCACTTCATCCACAGCATGGGCAGCGAGCCCACGGCCAAGTCTCGCGCAGTTCGGGCAGTTTGTTGATGTTTGTTGCTTGTGTTCTCCAATTTTTTGGGTTCACTTTGCGACTATGTTGCAGTCCTTTGCTCGGTCGGCCCTTCGATCCGTTGCTCGTAGGTTGGAAGCCTAAACCTCCCCAAAAACTTTGAAAACTACACTAGTCTCAAACCTGAAAGACCCAGACCCTGAGCCCTAAGCAACCCTACACACTAGACCCAAAGCAACCGCTGCCACAAACCCCAACAACCCGAAACCCTAAGCACGAACACAAACCCCCAAGCCCCAAACTTAGACAACCAAAAGCGAGACAACCCCAAATCTGCACCCTAAACAACACAAACATACACAAACCCCAACTTTAATAAACTCTGAACCTGGGCAACCCGAAGCCATGAACGCTAAACCGCAGTCGGCTGAAGATGATGCCTGGACTGAACTGTATTAGAGAATGGGGATTAGTAGGAAACCGGACGGCGAAACACAGGAGGACCGAACAGGGTTCAGAAGAGACGAGCACGGCCCAGCACAGAATGCTTCTGATTGCAAGGTCCAGCGAAGGCCCCTCAATCTGATTCTGAAAGTCCATGTGAGGGATTAGGTGTCAGAAACTTCGAGGAAGTACCAGCTGGATCGGAAAAACAAATCTGAGCAATCTTTGATCTTCGACTCACTATTGAGATTACCGAAGCTGCTGCAGTGATCCCAGTAATTGATGGAAGATCAACAATTGCTCCGGGCTCTTTTTCGAGCAAGGGCTTTTGCTGCCTAAGATTTCTGAATTCACCTCAGAAATCTCAGCACTGGAATACCTGCACAACAGCTCAATAAGAATCTGCTTATCTGGGCCGTAGCTTTTCATCAACATGCTGTATTCAACACATATTGAGTTTTGAACGTATAGAGCAGCCTCTATGGAACAAAGAACTCAGACAAGCTTCCAGAGCGTCCCCTGGGCGAAGCAAAACTGTGAAAAGCTGCAAGCCCTACTCTCTACCCCAAACCCCAAAGCCCAGACAAACCAAACAAAATCTCTCAAACCCCGAAGCCCTAAACAACCAAAAGCCCGTACAGATGAAACCCAACCAACCACAAACCCGAAATTGGAGATTTGAACTCTAGACTTGAAACAACAGCCTCAAGCCTGAAGCAACCCAAACCTAAACGAGCCCAAACCCTAAACCCTAAACAAGCCAAAGCCCAAAAACCTAAACGCAGCCTGTGTTACTTGTTACGTAGCACCTTCGCCCCCAAACAAACCCAACCGCTGCACCCTACAAAAACACCTGACAACCCAAATCCTGACCCGACACCCCACCATATGTACGGCTTCATTCTGTGTAGGATTGGAAGTAACAGGAACCGATTGTCCGGAACAGTGGAGTAACAGGAACCGCCCCCAATTCCGCAACAAGAACCGGCCGGTTTCCGTATCAGGGCCGCTGGGCCCTGCGTAACAGGAACCAGCTGCGGCTCCGGAAAACCAGACACGTGTTCAGACGGGCTAAAACTTTCTTCTTCGGACTCTGCCAACGGAGGACCGATCTTCGGTCCCCCTTCTAGATGCATTTTGTCGGGCATTTCCGGCTTCCTACCAACCTTAAACCAAGCTACAGCCCCAAGTACAAATTCAGAAATTCTAAACCCCAAATTCACATTTTGCGGCAAGGGCAGACATTTGAACTTCCGGGTTTAGGGTTTAAGGTTTAGAGTTTTCGGATCCAAGTTTTCGGCTTAGAGGTTGTAATTCTATAAAACGGGAACCAACATAACGTAGTCCCTGCTTGACTTCATTTGGAGGCTTGCGATTCTGCCTTACTTGGAAGGTCAAGCAGGCTTAGTAAGTGTACTATTGCTAGTACGAGCAGAAAAATGATTAGAATGAGGTACAAGCAAGCTGCAAAAAAGGGTGTAGAAGTAACACTCACTAGTGGTGCA